ACAAACACTTCGTCCCCCACCGTCCCCCCTTCCCCTCCCCTCCCCCCTAATACAAAAATTCCACCTTCAGGTCTTTGTTAATTTCACTATCCCCCCCCCCAACTAGAACCCCCACCCCCCCTTCGTCGTCCCATCTTGCCGCCATCCCCCATTAGATTCCCCCTCCATCGTCCCAAAACCCCCACTACATTCGTGTCCCGCTAACACCCCATCTTTTCCCCCTCGTCCCCCCATCCAAACTTACACTCCATCACCTCCCGCCTTGCTAAGATCCTTAACCCCTGCACCCAACACCCTAAACCACGCCCCCAACACCCACAACCCCTTCCCCCAACACTGTCTACTCCCCCTAACACCCTCAACCCCTCCCCCAACACCCCCACCACCAAAACCCCTTCCCCTAACACCGTCTACTCCCCCCAACACCCTAAACCCCATCCCCCAACACCGTCTACTCCCCCACCCCAACACCCTCAACCCCTCCCCCAACGCCCCCACCACCAAAACCCCCCTTGCTAACAACCCTTCACGCCGAGCTCCCCCCACCTTTCCCATCACCCTTAGAAAACCCTCACCTCTGACGGACGGTCCTCTCTCCCTCTCAGTCGGCCCTCTCCTCTGCTCGCTCGGCCGCCTAGTTATTACGTCGATTAAATCTCTATTAATTCACATGTTAAAATACGTTCGTGCTGTCGAGTCTTATTGTTCGAGCTGTGCCAGAAGCGAGAGAGAGGGAGGGAGGGGAGGGAGGGAGGGAGAGAAAGAGAGGGAGGGAGGGAGGGAGAGAAAGAGAGGGAGGGAGGGAGGGAGGGAGGGAGGGAGGGAGAAGCAGAGGGAGAGGGAGAGAGGGGGAGGGGAAGGGAGAGGGAGGGAGGGAGGGTGAGAGAGGGAGAGAGAGGTTGGAGGAAGGGAGAGAGAGGGAGGTAGAGAGAGGGAGGGAGAGGGAGGGAGGGAGGGAGGGAGGGAGGGAGAGAGAGAGAGACAGTATGAATGAGGCCTTTCTGAGAAACACGTTGAGTATTCGCATAAAGATTTCAGGTTTTATTACATTGGGGTTTATATTGAAGGAACCGGTCGTGTAAAGAAGTGGGTGTATATAAATAAATGAATAAACAGAAGAAAAACAGTAATGAAGAAAATACGATTGGTAACATTACTTTGCGGGAACTACTGATTTTCACATTTCGGGTTTATAACAGTGGGTTTATATGAGGGACCGGTCGTGTAAAGAAGTAGGTGTATATAAACAAAACAAAACAAAAAGTAATGAATAAAACACGATTGGTAATATTCATTTGTGGGAAATATTGATCTTAACTTTATTTACGGGTTCGAGGTAATTTGCACGCGAGAGAGAGAGAGAGAGAAAACTGGAGCAAAAAGAGAAAATTATGACCGTTTCTTTATGCTACTGTTTTGGTCTGTCCGTACACTGGTCGTTGTACCTCATTTCGAGGAAAAAACGGAACATAATAATCTTGTTTATCTTATCTCCCCCTCTTTGTCTCTTTTACCCCTTTCTTCTCCCTGCCCCCTCCCCTGTCCCTCCCTGTCCTTCACTCGCCCCTTTATCTCGTCTTCCTTAACCTTCTCCATCTTTCACTCTCCCTTTTTCTCCATTTCTCCCATTCCATTCCTCTTTTCCACTATTCCTCTCCTTGCCGCTTCCCTCTCCTCTCTTCCTCTATGTCCCTGTCTTTCATTCTGTCTCTCATCCTCCCTCTCCTTCGCTTTCCCCCTCCCTACCCCTCTATCTACCCTCCCTCCCTCTCCCTCCCCTACACCCCACCCCTCTTCTCTCCCACCCTCCTTGTCCCACATCCCTCCCACTCCCTGTCCCCTGAACCCCCTCTCCATCTCCCCCTCCCTCTTACCCCTCCACCCTCCATCTCCCTCCCCCTCCCACTTACTCCTCCACCCTCCATCTCCCCCACCTCCCCGCCTCCCTCCCCCCTCCCTCCCTCTTACCCCTCCACCTCCCACCCCTCCACCCTCCAGCTCCCACCCTTCCCCCTCCCCCTCCCTGCCCTTCAGTAGCCCACACGCACCAGGTCCAGCCTAAGGGACCCCATAAGAACCCAAGGAAGTGTGAAGGAGGAGGAGGGAAAGGATAAGGGAGGAAGGAAGTGGAGGGAAGGTTAGGGTTGGGGGATGGAATGGGGTGTGAAGGGAGAGGGGGAGATGGAAGGGGGTGGGAGAATGGGGAAGAGGGAAGAGGGAAGAGGGAAGGGGGATTGGGCACGGGGGGGGGGGGGATTAAAATGAGAGTGATTAACAACAGAAAGGGAGAGGAAGGAAGGGACTGATGGGGGGGGGGGGGAGGTAAAGAGAAAGAGAGGGGAATTTGAAGAGGAAATAAGCAAGTGAGGGCGGGAAGTTATGGACCAAAAATAAAATGAAGGAAAAAAAAAAAGAAAATAAAGAAGGCAAAGGAGGAAAGGGGAATCAATAAAGAAAATAAAAGGGAATATACAGAGAGAAAATAAGGGAAGAGGGACTGGAAGTTTGAAAAAGAGGGAACAAAGGACGAAAAGAGGGGAAAATAAGGTTAAAAAAGAGGGGAAGTGGGACGGAGGAGTGAGAGGTTAAAGAAAAAGGAGGTAAGGGGAATACGAAGAGAGAAACGAAGAAATGAAGGAAGAGGGAAGGAAGAAATAACAAAAAAAAAAAAAAAAAAAAAAAAATCTTTTGGCTACGTCATACTTCTGTCTTACGGCTAACATGCTTATATCAGTATAATATGTAAAATAAAATATATGAATGAGAATTAATGAAAATGAAGACAGACAGACAGACCGATAGATAGATAGATAGGTAGATAATGAAAGAGGTACCGAAAATGAAAATAAAGAAAGACAGATAGACCGATAGATAGATAGGTAGATAATGAACAGTTGGATAGATCGTAACAAAATCACGCCCACATAACGCCCTCATAAGTGATTATTATCCAGCACCTCATTAATCGATGGTCGAGATAAGCAACCGGGATGAGGCATAGATTATGATCTCGGAATCTGTCTTCCAAGATGCTAATTGGGGGGGGGGGGGGTGCGTGTGTGTGTGGGGGGGGTGCGTGTGTGTGGGGGGGGGGGGGGGGTTGCGTGTGTGTGTGTGGGGGCGGGTGCGTGTGTGTGAGTGTGGGGGGGGGGGTGCGTGTGTGTGTGTGTGTGTGTGTGTGTGTGTGTGTGTGTGTGTGTGTGTGTGTGTGTGTGTGTGCGTGTGCGCATGTGTATCCGTGTGTGTGTGTGTGCATGTGCATGCGCGCCGCGTGTGTACGTGCGTGTATGCGCGTACGTGCCTGTATGCCCATATATGTATACCTGAACATATATCCGTATACATGTACCCCACTACCCCATAAAAACACCCACACATGTATACATATACCCACACCCAATAAATATACCCACACGAACGCACATACCAATACGCACGCACAAAAAAACGAGCATAAAGAAAAGTACCGCCCTAACTCCAACCCTAATTCAACCTGACAGTCGCCGCCGCTCACAAGTGTCAAGTAATGTCAGGCTCTTATCACTCGAGCCTTGTTTACCCAACGTCTTCTGAGGATTAGGAATCTCGAGGACGACTTAGCGTAGGACGGACAACAAAACTAAAAAAAACAACAACAATAAGATAAAATATGGGATAAGTAAACGGGATTGTGCAGCGTTTGGATGGGGAAAGAAAAGAAAAATAGAAAGAGAAAAAGAAAAGATATGAAATGAAAAGAAGAAAGGAAAATAAAAATAAAATAAAATAAGAGAATAGAAGAAAAGAAAAGAGAGAAAAGGAAAGGAAAAGATAAGAAAAGAAAAGAAACGAAAAAAAGAAAAAAAGGAATAAATTGAATAACAAAAAAATCTAAAAACTACGCAAATTAGGAAAACGTTTGAATAAACAAAAGTTGTGTCAACGTGAGAAATATATTAGAAAACAAATAAAAAACAAAAATAAAAGGAGATTAATAACTATAAAATACACGAGCAAATTTCCATTTTAATCTTTATTATTATTTTCATTTAGATTTCTATTTTCATTTTTATTTTTTATGTTTACTGTAAACAACAACAATGATGTTTATCTTTAATAAAAACAACAACAACGATTTCTCCAGGAGAAGGAGGAGGAGAAAAACAGAAGAAAAGGAACAAGAAAAAGAAGAAGAAGCAGATAACGACGAAAAAAGGGAGGAGAAGAAGAAGAAAAGAAGATGAAGAATACGGTGAAGAGGACAAAGGAGGAGACGAATAAGAGATGAAGAGGAAGAGGAAGAAGAAGAACAAGAAGAACAAGAACAAGAATGAGAAGGAAAAGGGATGATGATGAGGAAGGAGAAGAAAAAGAGGAAAAAAAGAAGAAAAGAAGAAAAAAAGACAAAGAAAAAGAAGAAAAGGAGAAAAAGAAAAAGAAGAAAAGGAGAAAAAAATAAAGAAGAAAAAGAAGAACGAGAAAAGAGGAAGTAGAAGTAAAAGGAAAGAAAATGAAAATAAGAAGATGGAGAAGACAGAAAGAAGAGAAGACGAAGAAGAGAAGGAAGAAGGAAAAGAAAAAGAAGAAAAAAAGACGATGAAGGAGAAGAAAAAAAAAGAAAAAAGAAAAAGAAGGAGGAAAAGAAGAACAAGAAAAACAGGAAGAAAAAAAAGAATAAAGAAAAGAAGAACAAGAAAAACAGAAAGAAAAAAAAGGAATAAAGAAAAGAAGATGACGAAGGAGAATAAAAAAATAATAATAAAAATAGAAATGAGGAGGAAAATAAGAAGAAAAAAGGAAGAAAAAACAAAAAAAAAGAAAAGATAACGAAGAAGAAGAAGAAGAAAAAAAGAAAAAACAAAATTAAGAAAACGAAGGAAGATAGAAAAAAAAGAGAACAACAAGAAGAAGAAATATAAGAAAAAAAGAAGAGAAAAAGGAAGAGGAACAGAAACGAACCAGGAGAAAAAAAAGAAAAGAAAACAAAGGAAGAGGAACAGAAGCGAATCAGGATACCTTAC